GACGATAAATTTTGTCGGGGAACAAACAAATAAAAAAAAATATTTACATGTAATATTCGTTTAGCCACCATATTGTGGTGGCATATGATAATAATAGTAATTTAATGAGACTAATTATAAATAATTTGCGTTCTGTTATGACAAATGCTCATTTAGATAGTCTCATGATGGTTGAAATACATCGTGATAGGTGAAGCAACCTCGACCATGATTGCGTGGTTGACAGATTTCATGCAAAATTTCCAAAATTTAACTTTCAAGAATGAGGATTTGAAAATAAATTAGATGGTTACATTGCATACTCTTTGTTTCTTGCTTTATTCAAAATGTTTTAGTTTTGGAAGCTGATTTCAACATTAGAAAGCATAGCCTACATGAAGTCATATTATAGTAACGCGATGTCTATCAAGTAAGTAATATAAATTCGCCATAATTCATCAAATATCCGTGGCTTCCAGGGAGCAGATTTATCAGACGGGCTCCTCCTGCGCCACTCGACCCAGCATTTTACTCAATTTCAATTTACTGTATTCACAATTCAGTTGGCAGCAAAATAGCTGAATTACATAAATTTACAATTGATTATAATTTTAAAATGTTTACACCAAAAAGACCAAACAATAAAACCGATACAAAGAACACTTTGATTCGTATGGAGCTTTGACCAGTTATGTAACGCCTGAGATGTGTATAAGAGACAGCTTGTGAATGTTGTCATTTTTCCTAATACGGTATATTTTCCTATAATTTTCAAGCGGGGGTAGAAATGCCCGAGACCACACTGATAGAATTTAAGTCGGAAATTAGCTTTTTATTTTTCTTTGTTTTTTTTTTCAAGTAGGTCTCTTCTTCCTGGACTTGCTTTACTTCTTTCTTTCTTTTAAATTATTATTTGGGGGTGGGTGATAGTCACCGTGCTCCAAGGATCCGCCCCTCTCTTCATTGGAACTTCGGTCATTACATTCATGATTGAGCATGTAACCTATGCACGCTAATGAAATTTACGTACGAAAATTACGATTTATGCATAGACCTAATTTATATATGCTGCACGCAAATTATTCATAATAAAAGTGTGTGTGCAAAATATAAGTTATACCGTTAAATAGTCAAACCATATTTGTTAGCATTGTCTACTTTAATGATATGCCAGTGCCCCCAACATTATAT